TAATAATAATCCAATGGTTAGCATTGGTTCACTACAGTCGGGCCCAGGAGTGCACAGGTGTTGGTGTCGACCAGCGTATAGACTGCGCGCCCGAACGGACAGTCACTGAGGCTGAGTGTACGGCACGGAAGTGCTGTTTCGCAGCCAAAACACCCACCGGTGGGAACAGTAAGTATACCTTTTTAATCATGTTAGATTAAATATTTAAAATGTTATTTATTAAAAGTAATTTATAAATATATTTGTATTAAAATAGTGTTTTAAAATAATAAGTTTAATTATTAATCAATAATAGCCTTGATTTATTTTAAAAAATAGATAAATACATACCGACGTGTTTTATGCCGCAAACCTATCCGGGTTATAAAATCACCAAGGTTGATGAAAGCCCAGCGGCTTTTACTTACGTAGAGCTCGAGCGCGAGACCCCATCGGGATTTCCCAACGATATAAAGTCGGTGTCGTTTCGTATAACACATCTGACACACAATGTGTTGCGCATACGAGTGGCTGATCTAAATCACACCCGATTTGAGCCCCCACTGCCCCAACTCAATATACCCTTACCCGTACCCATGCGTCACATGTATTCGGTGGACCCGGTTGGAAAGGGTAAGTGATTCTAACATGGTTATAACTTATAAGGGTTTATGATGTTCACTCAAAAATGATTATGTTTGTAATGAATAAATATATGACTTTAAAACTAGCCCTTTAAATTATGTACACATTTTATAAATAGTTATTAGATAAAATCTTATATAATTTAGATTATGCATGTTATTTTTGCAATCTTAATTCAGTAAATCTACAGATATAAATCTTTATATATGTAGAGAAAATAATTAACTAGTTAAACATACAAATTTTAATTTTCAAACTTTAACTACTTTTACAGGTATTATCACTGTTAGACGTATAGCGACAAATGCACCCATATTTCAGACCGACTTAACAAAACTGGTGTTTGCTGACCAATTCATCCAGCTCAAATCACTGCTCAGTTCGCACCAGGTGTACGGCATTGGTGAGAACAAGGCCAAATTCTTGAAAAACACCCAGTGGCAAATACACACACTATGGAACCATGATAAACCAGTCGCCGATAACTTCCCAGAATACGGTTCCCATCCGTTTTACCTGAACGTCGAGGACAACAGCACCGGTCTATCGCACGGCGTGTTTCTGCACAACTCCAACGCTATGGACGTACTGTTACAGCCGGAGCCGGCCATCACGTGGCGCCCAATTGGAGGCATTTTAGACATATTTATATTTCTGGGTCCACAGCCGGCAGACGTTGCCAGAGCGTACGTCAGTCTCGTGGGTAAACCTGAAATGCCTCCCTTCTGGGGTCTGGGCTATCATCAGTGCCGGTGCTGTACTGAACCCAACACTCTGGCCAACCAAAAGGTTATAACTGAGCGCACTATAGCCGCCGGCATACCGTTTGACACCCAATGGAATGCCAAGGAGTATATGGAGACCACGTTTAATGATTTTACGGTAGACCAGAACCGGTACAAAGGGTTTGGCGATTGGGTCCGGCATTTGCACGATATTGGTATGCATTACGTGCCCATTATTGACCCGGGCATAGACCCAGCTCAAAAATCTGGTAAGAATTCAATTTATCATTTATAAATTGTGTAAATAACTATGTAAACATTTTGACTACTATTACCATCTAAACGCCTAAAATAAATTGACTAGTTATATTAATTTTTAATTAAATATAAATATTAAGGTACATACGCGCCATTCGATGATGGAGTGAGCATGGACGTTTTTATTAAAAATCATACCGATGGCCTATTCATTGGCCACACGTGGCAAAAGTCGGGCAAAACAGTTTGGCCCGACTTTTCGCACCCAAAATCAGCCGAATACTGGACCAAACAGTACCGGGAGTTTCACAAACAGGTGCCCATCGATGGCTCCTGGAATGACATGAACGAGATCTCAAACTTTTTGGGCGGATCTACAACCGGGTGCCCTAAGGGTAACCCACTTGAGGCGCCTCCCTATGTGCCAAAACAACTGAGTAAACTGCAAGATATGACACTATGCATGACTGCCAAACACTACGCCGGCGTTGACTATAATGTGCACAATTTGTATGGATTTTATATGGCTATGGCTACCGATGTGTGAGTATTGTATTGTTTAAATACACCAACTAGGATAATTGTTACTTTTAAATAATATTAGGTAAATATTTTTATATTAATTCTGTGTTATTCATACATATAGTGCGTTGAAAGAGGTGCGCCAAAAGCGGCCGTTTGTCATATCCCGGGCCACATCGCCCGGTCAGGGCAAGTACTCCGGGCACTGGGATGGAGACACCGATACTGACTATTCAAATATGCAGTGGACTATTGCTTGTGAGTGCAAATATTATTTAGCATAAACATTAGATTTTAATTTATTTTAATCAATATATTTAATTAATATTGTGACTATTTTATATACTTTATAGCAATTATGAATATGAATATGTTTGGCATACCGTTAGTCGGGGGCGATATATGCGGTTTTCTGGGCAAAGCAGAAAACAACACGTTTCACCAAGAGTTGTGCGCTAGGTGGTTTGAAATTGGTGCTTTCTATCCGTTTGCTAGGTAAGTATTACTAAATACTAAATTAAACAACATCTTAATATTGTTATAAAATTATTTAACAATATTACAAACACACACAGAAATCATAACATGAAGAAAATGGACCAAGATCCAGTGGCTCTAGGTCCAATGGTCACTCGTGCGGCAAAACAGGCGTTGGAAACCAGATACGCCCTGCTGCCTTATTTATACACACTGTTTTACCAAGCCAAAATGTACGCAGAAACTGTAGCTAGGCCACTTTTCTTTGAATTCCCAGCCGATAAGCACACGTACGAACCGGCAGTGGCCGAGAGCCAGTTCATGTGGGGCCAGGCATTTATGATAGCGCCTGTAGTCGAACCCAATGTGACCAAAATCAAGCCCTACTTACCGGCGGGTGTTTGGTATCCGTTTCATTACCCCACGTTTGATAAGCCTATTGTGAGTAGCGGTCAGTTCATGGAGTTTGACGCCCCGGTAGACAAAGTGAACACATTCTTAAGGGCCGGACATATAGTGCCGATACTACCCGTCCAGCAGACAACCACTGCTATGCAAAAGGAAAAGTTTATCATCTTGGCTTTCCTGGACAAAGCAACAGCACATGGTCAGTTATATTGGGATGATGGTGATTCCATAGACACAATTGAGCGTGGACAGTATACACTAGTTACTTTTGACGCGACTAATGTGAGTATTGTATTGTATTAATTACAATGAAATAATTTATTAATTATGTAATTTATATTTAGAATACCTTGGTCACAAAACCAGAGCACAATGGCTATAAGGATGTTGTGGTGGGCGAGATAGATGTGTTTGGTGTGAGTGCTAAGCCAACTACGGTGTTGGTCAATGGGGTTGCTGCTAAAAAGTTTTCATACAACCCAATTGGGCAACAATTGGCTGTAAGCGAGTTGGCTCTCAATGTTGGCGCCGCTAAACATACAATTGAATGGAGTATCTAGCTTAAATATACTTTTTGTATTTAATTATGCTTATAAACAGTATTAATATAAATTTACTTTATTAATAAATTCTAAAACTTTTGTTTTAATAAATAAATAATAGTTTAAAGTAACATTTAATTTATTCAATTAA